TGTACGAAGACAACCACCTCCTCGACGCCACCCCCAACAAACACCCTGACAACCACACCTTCAGGGACCTTGCTGTGACGCCCGGCAGCGACGAGGCGTGGAACTTCAGCACACACGTAGATGAGCCACCGCTGGCCCTCGACACGAAGCCGCTCAACTCCCCCGCGCATGTGTTCCGGGACCTGCGCAACCCGGAGGTGCCGTTCAAGTTGACGCCGCGTGTTGATCGCTCGTCGCCCGCACTCGACACCACGCCCGCACCCGTGCACCCGGACAACGTCACGTTCAGAGACGTCTCCCTGGTCAGTTGGTTGATAATTGCGGTTGGTGGTTACGGTGATTGTGTTGAGTGGCGGTTGGTGACTGGTGCTTGTTCTTCTCGTTGAACCGATGTTGTTACCCACAGCTCGACTGTCACCCTGCCCTTCCGTCTCTTTCCTCAACTCACCACTCGCTCGTTGCTTCCGGTTGCGCCTTCGTCTCATGTCGCGTATCCATATTCGTTCAATTCTGGTTCTCCTCTCCCTTCTCGTTGACAGGACCGCCAGTGGAACATCTCACGCGACCGCTCCGAGAGCCCCATTGTGCTGCAGAAGCCAATCTACCTCAAGGAAAGCGTCGACAAGGTGCGTGCCTGTGCATGCATACTCTTGAGAGAGAGGAAAGGGTGTGCGTGTGTGTGTGCGTGTGTGCTGTATATGTGTGCGTGTTGTGTGTGTGTGTGTGTGTGCGTGCTGTATATGTGTGCGTGTTGTGTGTGTGTGTGCGTGTATGTGCGTGCACGTGCCTTTGCACTGTCGTCATGTGTCTGTTTTTATACCCCAAGCAATTCGCTTACGAAAATCTCACCTCATCTTCCTCCGTCTGCGTGTGGCGCTGCACCTCTTCTCTGCCTCCCTCCCTCCAACATACACCCGCTGACCACTGCACGGGCCAGTTTGCGTTCCGCGATGTTGTGTACGGCGGCTGGAACGGCTCTCCTCGCTCGTCCTCGTCAGCACAGGCGGTGAGCACCCACCACCACGTGTATGTGTGGCACTGTAGACCTTTGGTGATGTTTGATGCTGGTCACCATCACTCTGCTCTTTGCTACCATCACTGTTCTCAGCCATCACCATTCACTCACGACAACACCCCCACTCATCCTTGCACCAATCCCCCACCCCCACCAGCGCCCCTTGTCGTCGGCCGGCGGCAGCGAGCATGATCTGTTTGCCACGCGTGCGCGCAAGCACATCTTTCGCAGCATCAACCCGTCCCCGCTTGGGTGGAACGCCAGCACCCGCCCCGTGCCCATCAAGGGTCCCCAGAGCCTTGGTGCAGCCGAAGCAGAGGCCGTGCGCCTCCTCAAGCCATCGTCGGTGCGTTCCTCCGTATGTGTCTCTTGTGTGTGTGTGTGTCTTGTGTTTGTGTGTGTGTGTGTGTGTGTGTGTGTGTGTGTGTGTGTGTGTGTGTGTGTGTGTGTGTGTGTGTGGCGTTTCCTCGAATTTGTGTCTGTCAAGAACCCACCTCATGCCGTGTGCTCACGTGCTCACCAACTTGTCTTGCGTTCCCATGTGTTCCATGTGTGTGTATGTGTGTGAATACAGCGCCCATCGTCGCGTGGTGGCCACCGTCGCCGCACCTCCCTCAGCCCGCGCACAGGCACCCCAACTTCCTTCAGGTGCAGATGCCATGCCCACGATTGGCTTTTGTGTTTAATTGACACACACATACACACACATATACACACACATGCACACACATGCACATGCACATGCGTCTTGGCTCTCACAGCATACTGCTTCCCCCTTCAACGCGGCAAATCCGTGCTCACACAACAACAACAACAACAACGACAACAACAACAACAACAACAACAACACCAACAACAACAACAACAACAACAACATCAACATCAACATCAACAACATCAACATCAACATCAACATCAACATCAACATCAACATCAACATCAACATCAAACATCGCCATTCCACCATGCCTTGCCAGGCGCCGTGCCCCGCGCCCCCGTGGGCGCTCGCCAACAGCTGGCCGCGGGCCTTCATCGTCGGCGTCGTCGTCGTATTCCATGGTGGCAGCCAAGAGCGCATCGCCCATGTTGCGGAAGAAGCAGATGGCAGCACAGGCGAGCAGGGCCAGCGGTGTGCCCAAGGCGGGACGGCAGCAGGCCGTGGCCACGAAGAAGGCGAAGAAGGCTGCAAACACAAAGTCTGGCAAGAAGAAGACACAGAAGAAGGTGAAGAAGGGAGCAGCAAAGGCGCAGCTGGAGGGTGAGGACGTGCAGCCATCCCAGACGGCCGCTGCCGCTGCCGCAACCACAACCGGCACAGAGCAGGAAGAGATGGATGTGGAGCAGGACACCGCTGCTGGCGCTGTGTCTGATGCTGAGCACGAAGCAGAGGAAGAGGTGGAGAGATCTGACATTGAGATCACCCTGGCAGATGAAGATGAAGATGAAGATGAAGAGGCGAGTGAGGAGGAGGAGGAAAAGGCCGATGGCGCTGTGGCGATGGGGCCGCTCGTGGTGGAAGGCGGCACTAGCAGCGGGGAGGAAGAAGACGACGAGGAGCTGGTCACTGTTGAGGAGGAGGCGGAGGACGAAGAGGCTGTGACGGCAGCTGCCACAGAGCAGCAGCAGGAGGAAGAGGAGGCGGAGGAAAAGCAAGCTGTGGCTGCTGAAACCGTGGCAGAAGACAAGGAAGAGAAGGAGGAGGAAGAGAAGAAGGAGGAAGAGAAGGCACCGCCAGCCGTGACCGTGACGACTGGAAGCGGTGCAGCGGCGGTGATTTCCGAGACGAACCCCTTCTTTGCGGCGCTGAGCGGTCTGGAGGAAGAGAGCACCGCTGATGGCACCACCGCCACCAGCGACAATGCCGGGGACGCCACAGCTGCCCGCACCAACGTGTACGCCACCAGCAAAGATGATGCCGATGAGGAAGAGGAGGAGGAGGAAGAGGAGGAAGAGGAGGAAGACGATGAGCTTGATTTGGTTGAGGTTGATGTGGAGCTGGATGAAGGCAGCGATGAGGACGATGCAGCCATGTTTGACGACCTGACGCAGGTGGATGCCGGCAAGGGGGACGTGGATCTCTCGTTTGAGGCGGACAGGCAGCACGTGTACCGCATCGACAATGATGTGGTGGCGGAGGAGGAGGAGGAGCGAGAAGAGGCAAGCAAGGAGGACAAGGGTGACGAGCAACAGGAACAGCAGGAGAACCGAGTGTCCACTGAAGACGGTGCTGATGTGAAGCAACAGGGCGATGAGGGGCACGACGACAAGCGCGGTGAGGAGAGCAAGCCCGCCACTGCCGCTGCCGCCGCCTCAGACGGCGCTGATGGCGACGACGACGATGATACACAGCAGCCCGCGGGCCGCATTGGTGTTGCTGTTGACGCAGCCGACAACGACAAAACAGCGACCACGCCCACTGCCGCGGCAGATGGCAGCGCAGCCCCGCAGTCGCCGGCGGTCGATGGTGGCAGCACCAACGGGTCGCTCGCAGACTACGACCACAGCATTGTGGAGCAGCGAAGCCTGCTTGACGTGCTCACGGAGGGCGATGTTGGCGCCAGTGACGGTGATGGCGAGCTGGCTGGCGACGACGACACGGCCGCGCACGGGCGTGACAGCGGGGACATGTTCCCGCCAGAGGAGGATGACGAGGGCGATGTGCTGGCGCTGCTCTCTGCACACACGACGCCGCGCCGCCGCACCCGTCGCAACCGCGACACGACCGCTACTGGTGGCGGTGCTGGGGGCAAGCGCCGCAACGACAGCGAGGTGTCGGCCTACTCTGTTGACGGCAGCCTGCACGGCGACGGCAACGAGGGGGATGACGTCCCCAGCGAGTTTGCAGCGACACGCGCACAGGCGCTGTCGGAGGTGGCGGACGAGATGCTGGCGCGGCCGGAGCAGCAGGCGGCACTGCAGCGGCGGGAGCAGCAGCAGGAGGAGGAGAGGAAGAAGCGCGAATCCCAGCTGCTGTCTGCCGACGGTCATGACGATGGAAAGGAGGAAGAAGCCGCAAAGGAGGGCGAGGGTGCACCCGGCGACGACGAGGAGAGCAAGGTGCCAGAGCAGGCGTCCGCTGCCCCTCAGCAGCAAGAGCAGCAGCAGCAAAAGGAGGAAGAAGGTGCTGAAGACAAGCAGCGTGACCAGCAGTTTGCTGTTGCTGCCCTGCACTCTGCTGTGAAGCATGATGATGCATCTGCTGCTACTGCGGAGGCTGCTCGCGCCCGCTCCCGCCGTAAGGGCCGTCTTCGTCGCCTCGCTGGCCGCATCTTCGGCCGCAAGGTCAGGGTGTGGGTTATGTGCGTGTGTGTGTGTGTGTGTGTGTGTGTGTGTGTGTGTGTGTGTGTGTGTGTGTGTGTGTGTGTGTGTTACAGGTGTAGCGTCCACTTTTTGTTGTTGTTGTTGTGCGCTCACGCTTCCGCTCCAACCTTTCACGTTCACACGACAGAAGCGCGATCACAAGAAGGACGAGGCAGACGTTGATGATGATGATGGTGATGATGACGGCGAGGAAGATGTTGGCGTGGATGACAAGGACACCGCCGCCACCGCGCTCGCCACCGATACCACCGCTGAGACGAAGGAGCAACAAGACACGCCCGCCAAACAGATGCCCTTCCCAACAGAGGTACAGGCACTGTGTGTGTGTGTGTGTGTGTGTGTGTGTGTGTGTGTGTGTGTGTGTGTGTGTGTGTGTGTGTGTGTGTGACACCAGAGAGGGGTCGTAACTTCCTTCTTTTTTTTGGCGTTTCTCTCCCCCTCGTCAAACCTCGCGTGCTTGCCCCCCCCCCTCTCTGCTCACCCCGTCCCTGCCCACCTTCCACTCGTCACTTGCCCTCGACAACAGCCGTTTGATTTCGAAGTGGTGATTACGCGCACGGATGACAAGCAGCCGCTTGGCATGCGCATCGGAACTCCAAAGCGCAGGACAGGTGGGCTGCTCTGTTTTGCTGTGTTGCATGTGTGTTGTTATTGCTTGGTGTGTGTTTTGTGTGTTGTTACTGCTCAGCGTGTGGTGTGTGCTGTGAACGTGAGGGGTGTGTTTTGTGCCAATGGTGTTACTGACGAAAGCCACGCCCTGTTCCTTGATTCATCTTTCGACCGTCTCACGCTGCTTACCGCTTGCTTGTGCGCGTGCGACTGTGCGCAGATGCGAGTGGCGCTGTTCAGGACCACTACCCAAAGGTGTCGCTTCTTGAAATGAACGGCCCCGTTGCGTCGACGGGTAAAGTGCTTGTTGGCGACCGTATCGTCTCCCTCAATGGGGAGTCCATGCTCAACCTCTCCCACACCGCCGCCATCTCCAAGTTCAAGAGCGCCGGCACGGAGATGCGCATTGTCTTCCGCCGCGACCCATCTGTTGCCATGCAGTCGCACCTTGTTGCCGCTTCCATGGGCGCCTTCACCGTCGCCACCGCACCGGCAACTGCAACCACCGCAAACGCTGGCGCCAACGCCGACACCACCGCTGCTGCCTCGTCATCATCATCATCATCCACCCCACAGCCTGCCAACGCTGCGACCCCTGCGATTACAGCCGCCGCCAGCGGCAACTCAACAACAGCATCGCCGACCACAGCCGCAGCAGCAGCAACAAGGACGACGGGTGGCGAGGATGCGTCGCCGTCCACCCCGCGCTCCCGGCGCCGGCTGTTCAAGATGTTTGGTGGCAAGAAGGGCAGCAAGAGCCCCGCGGCACCCGCAGATGCAACACCGTCGTCATCGTCGTCGTCGTCTGTCAAGCATCTCAATCGCGATGGCCAGCACCAGCCCAACGGGAGCGGGTCAACGGATCTTTCGCGTCTGCGTGCGATTGCTGGTGAGGGCGACGGTGCCACTGCTGCTGCTGATTCTCCAAAGTCGAAACGCCGTGGCCTCTTTGGACGCAAGCGCAAGTAGAATGGATGCAGTGGGTTCGCATGTGGGATGTGTGGCGTGGTATGTGGGATGGGAGGTTTGGATTGGACTGGACTTAGTGGCACTGTGTCGTGCGATGCGGCTGATGTGGCGATGGTTTCGTTGAATTTGGTGCCAAGCTTCTTCTTGTGGTTTAGCGGTTGGTTTTTTAGGGCTGCCGTGTGCGTGCTTGACAGAATGCACAAGGGATGGATGGATGGATAGTGTTTTGTTGGTTTCTTATTCACACACGCACGCGTGTGTGTACGTGCGCGTGTGTACGAGTCTCACGTGCGTGCATTCAACTGTCTTCGCCCATTGTCTTCCTTTCTTTAACCGGAACATGTTTGATCCATTGTGTGCGTGTGTGTGTATATGTGTGTGTGTGTGTGTGTGGTTGCGGTGTGACCGCAGAAAGTGAAACGTGATCAGCAGAACAGTTCTTTTCCTGGCGTCAGACATCAAAAAGTCGAGAATATGATGAGGGTTCAAACAACGACAATTAGTGAAGGTTACACGATAACGAAAGCAAGCAAGTGAGGTGTGACATGATTAAAAGAAAAAGATGCAGGAAAACACATGTGTGCTGTGGTGAGATGAATAACGCGGGGGAAAGGAAATGGGGAAACAAGGAAGGAGAATGACCAACGGCAACACAGCAGAGGTGAAATTGAAACACAGCACACACACACACACACACCACACACACACACACACACCACACACCACACACACACACACACAACACACACACACACACAACACACACAACACAGCACACACAACACACACACACACAACACAACACAACACAACACAACACACACACACACACCAAAAGTGCTGGGTGCGTCACGAGGCCAACGCGGCGAAAATAGCAATGACAATAGCAAAGGCGCCAAACGCCACAGCCAGGATGAGCAGCCGACGCAACACACGCGACTGCGATGCCAGCGATGACGATGATGCTGACGACAGTGCATGGCGCGTCCTAGACGACCGCTGCCGAGGCTGTGACGTACGAGCAGGTGATGCAGAGCCCACCACGGACGGCTGTGGTGACGATGATGTTGACGATGACGGGATGGTTGGAAGCGGTGGTGCTGTTGCCGACTGCCCCCGACGCCGCCTCTTCCATGCGATGCCTGTAGACGACGATGGCGGTGACGATGTCGAGGTTGGCGCCGACGATGATGATGCTGGTTTGGATTTGGACTGGTGCCTGGCGTTTGGTGCTGCATGAAGGACAGCAAGCTGGCCCGCACTCAACAGCCGCGAGGATTTGAACTGCGATGAACGCCTGTGCCGCTGCTGCTGCCGCCGTCGCTGTTGCTGCTGCTGCTGGCGGAAGGGTTGATATGACTGCGCGGAGAAGTGGGAGGCGGTTGATGTGTCTGATGTGTTCGACTTGTACGTGCGTGTGGATGCATTTGACACAACGCGTCCACGCTGGCGAAGGGGAGGCGCTGATGCAGCCACTGACGGGAGCGACGCTGTCGGTGGCGGCAGGCCCGCGTTCCATAGCGCACGCTGGCGCTGGGCGGCAGCAGCAGACGATGACGAGGACGACGATGCTGTGGATGATGTTGGCGACAGTTTCTTGGTCGTTGCCGTGCCTTCGGAGAGGTTGGTCACACTCTGGCTGTGGAGGCGGTGTTGCTGCTGCGCTTCCACAGCCCATGGCGTTGTCGACAGCAGCTGTGGCGGGCCAGTGCTGTTGGTGATGCTGTTGCTGTTGGTGTTGTTGTGCTCGTAGTTGGTGGCGTCGTTTGTGTGAGTGGCACTGCTACCGAGAGCGTCCACGTTGAGGGTGGAGCAGGAGCGAGCAAGGCTGATGGCCGATGCGTGGAGGGCAACCGGTGACAGCCGTCCAAGCTGCACTGCATCCAGTTGAAGGTCGCTCAAAGACATGTCCGACATGAATGAGGGCTGCCCACTCACCCGCGCAGCATGCATCGTGTCCCTGCTCATCACAAACAGCAGTAGAAAAAAGCGGGGAGGGATTAGGATGAGCAACGCATGCAAAGAGGACATCATCTTACACATCCACAGTAAGCAAACACGCACACACACACACACACAACCACACACACACACACACACACCGCACACACACACACACACACACACACACACACACACACACACACACACACACACACACACACACACACACACACACACACACACACACACACACACACATGCATGTCGCATGCACACACACACACACGCACGCACGCACGCACACGCACACATACATACACACATGCACGCCCACACATGCATAACGCGACGTACTCCGCTCTGACTCGACGCCGAGGCCTGCGCGCTTTCCAAGGCGCCACATGCCGATATACTCCACCATGCGACCGCCATCACCCCAGGTCTGCTTGCCGAGCTTGTCCTTCTGCCCCTGTGTCCAGTCGCCGGCATACACGTTGCGGCGGCAGCTGCACCACACGCCGAGACCGTCGGACTGCCCCTGCGTCCACTCGCCAGCGTACCACGAGCCATCGCTCCACAGGTACACGCCAAGCCCGTTCTGCTCGCAGGCAGAAAGGTCATGGCGAGGGTGGGGGGTAATTGCAGTCAACTTCAATGCGAGGAACAGGCAGCCATGCAGATCGGAACATGGGCAGACGGGCAGATTGACATGGGCAGACTAACACAACACACACGTATGCAAAATACACACAACGAACACACACGAACATACAGCACACTCACACACGAACACATACATGCATGCGCACCTCCTTGCCGTGGCTCCATTGGCCGCAATAGAGCCAGCCCTCAGGAGACCGCTTCACGCCAACCCCGTGTGCAACGCTGTTGTCAATCTCACCCGTGTACCTGCCACACCAAAATGGAACAGCAACGGGTGAGTTCAGGGCATTCGCACAAGATAGTGTCACCAACGTGAAATGCCGCCAACTAAGCATCATGTGTGAGGAGGTTGCAACGCTTGACGCAGGAGACTCACGCGCAGCCATCTGGCCAGTCGACGTGGGCAATGTCCAGGTGTGTGTTGATGCCGAAGATGCCTGGGAGGGCGCCGTCATCGTCCTCTTCCGCTGTTTCCCTGGACGTGCTCAGGGACCGCCGGAACGGCAGCGATGCCTGCTCGTGATGGAAGCTGGACGCCCGCCGAATCAACACTTTCATCACAACACGGCGACGGAGGGTGAAGTGTGTGTGTGTGTGTGTGTGTGTGTGTGTGTGTGTGTGTGTGTGTGTGTGTGTGTGCGTGTGAATGTGTGTGAAAGTGAGGTGTGATCGTGCGATGAGTGCAGGTGCAGCTCATATGCCGGCCAAACTGTCTGCCGACCACCGTGACCAACGCGAGAAGGATAGCGCAAATCCCCCTCTCCTGTATCCAAAGTCCACAACTCGATCGCGTGCGGGGTTGACCTACAAGGTTTCGACGGGCTTGCCATGATGAGCGGCGAATAAAAGGCGGGCAAGCAAGCAGCAAGGCGGGAGAATGAGCTCCTCCTCTCCCCGCTCTCTGCCTCGCTTGGAGTCCGCGCTCCTGTCGCTGGTTGCTGGTTGGTTGCTGGTTGGTGCGCTGTTGTGGACACTTCCGCAACCAAGGAAGCGAGGGAGGGGGAAGGTGAAGAGTGTTGGCTGGGGCGTGGTATGCAAGCAACCACCGCTTGCGTTTGATTGGTCGTTGTTGATTGGTGGTGTTGTTGTGTAGGACAGCAGCAGTCAAACGTGTGCGAAAAAAGCAAAACTCGCACGTCCCGTCAGGGTCGACTGAATTCAGCCTTGATTGAAGTCAGTTGCCACAGTTGACGAGTCAGTGGAGAGGTGGAGAAAGCGAAAGAGAGTTGCTTCAACCACACACACACACACACACACATACACACACACACACACACACACACACACACACACACACACACACACACACACACACACACACACACACACACACACACACACACACCACACACGCGCACACCCCAAGATACTAGGGGTGTGAGGGGCGCCGAGGCGGTGGAGGCATGGGGGGAACTGCCCCCTTCTCACGCTACAACCAGGACTTTGAACATGCGTGTCACCCGGGGGGGGGGGGGGGGG